GGCTCAAACTTGTGGTCCTACCTCAGCCTTGCAGAGTGCTAGTTACATAGGTGTATATCACTATGCCCAGCTATATATATATATATATATATATATATGTATATATATATATATATATATATATATATATATATATATATCAATGCCTGCAAGTAATTCTTGATAGAGGCAGTAGGGAACCACCTGTGTAGGTCCCCTGGCTTTGGCCTTTAGTGCTGGCATCAGGAATGTAAGTAAATGAGAGGTTGGGGGTTACTAGGTATAGTCAGTGGGGAGGTGACTATGAAGACTGTCAGTTGGCATGATGCAGTGTTTGAGTTCTGTCTGCTGTATTAAGCTTCTGAGTAACAGAGAGATGAGAAAAACATGCACTGAAGTAAATGACATTTTATGTACTGCCACCTAAAGACTTGTCTTTGAAAAAGGCATTTTAGTTTTTAAAGTATAAAATAAAACACTATTTCAGGATCTTGTCATTAGATTTTTGTTCCTAATCACTCTTATATGACTATAAAATCTTTCTTAGATTCTTTTTTCTGTTTTGGGTCTGAGGATTGTACCAAGAGCTTTCTCACTGACCTACATACCCAGCCTTTGTTTTTGCAACAGGATCTTCCTAAGATGCTGAGGCTGATCTTGAATTTGCCATCTTCTTGCCTCAGACTATTCCTGAACCCCTGGGATTACAGGGTCAGCTAGCTTTAAAGCTAGCTTTAAGAAGGTTCTGATATGTAACCGAAACAGGGAAATTACAGACAGGCAGGGAAAGGGGAACCACAAAAATAATGTAAAATTATTATTGTATAACAGTGGCTCTAAAAACTGAGGTCCCTTATATCCAATTTGTCTGGTCTACTTTTTATTCCTTTAATTATCTTCAATTTTAAAAGTAGTCTGTAAGAAAAAGTACTTCTTAAATGTAAAGTATTTCCTTTGTGTCATCATTTAAATTCTTGCTTTGACTTTCACAGGAACCGTTTGTTTCTCCTACACTAAGGATCCCTCACTCAAATCTTTGGCCGTATTTTCTTATGTTTTGTAGCAATTCACTACAGTTTTTCCAACATATTTTCTGCTATGAGAGAGTCTTAAGTCTCTATAGACCTTAAAAATTTCACTGTAAAATAACATGGTTTTTAAGAGTTAATAAATGTCTAAAAGTTGTTCATCTCTTCTCAGGAAATAACTGTGGGCATTCTGCTAGACCCGAGGATGACTATTCGGGCTAATCAGTGTAAATGATTCCCAGTGGAGTTTCATGCTTCTCTGAAGAAGTGTTTCATTAAAACTTTTTCAACTGCTTTTAATCAGTGTAAGCTTTGATTAAAAATGGAATGAAAAAGTAAAAAATACCCCAGGCGTTTGACATTGAGAGTAGAAAGATGAGATGATTATATATAATAGAATGGAGATTTGTTTGGCTAATGTCTTAGACCAAGTCATTAAAATATGTAAATTTAAGAAAAATATGAAAATAGGTATTTGAACAAAATATACTCAGACCAAACTCTTGGAATAATGAGAGGTATAATTCTTTCTTCAAACCAAGTCTTCCATTTAACTAGTTTGAGTTTTATTCTGGGGCATATAACATCTACTAAAATGTGTATTCAGGGCAGCAATGCTTTATCTTCATTTTCTATCTCTGAAGGTTTTCAGCTCTGTTATCTAACATCTCTTGATGTTTCCTGTAATTGAGAGAAGCTAGTACTATGGCGGTATACATTTGGACCACTTATGTTTTTGTTTTACTTACTTGCCAGTTTTTTTTTGCTACATTCTACGTAAATACATGTATTGCAGCTATTTTTAGGAATAATGGATTCATAAATCCAAAGTGTAAAGGAAACTTAAAGGTTAACTGATAGCTTTCAAAAAATCAAATAAGAGGTGTCTTTTTTTTTAAGTCTAAGGACATTAGTACAAAAATTTTTAAAACTCAGAGTTTCAAATATCTTAATCAGTTGAATCATCGGTTATTTAGTTTCAGATATATAAACTTTATGATTTAGAATGATGAAGAGAATTTTGTTTCATATTCTCATCTCTCTTTAAATGCACTAATTTTTAAAAGTATTTACATTTAAATAAGAATGCAGTACCGATCTTGAATTGATATTAGAAATGAACCTTTTTGTAAGGTAATGAATTGAATCCTCAGTACCCTCCCCCCAAAAAAACCAAAGAAATGAGCATTTTTGTAAAATATAGCAACCATAAATGTAAGCACTTAAAACCTATTTGTCCTTCATAAACTGGAATATTATATTTAAAAATACTGCAGAATATGGCATAAGCCACGTGGTATGTCAAAATTCCATTTTTTGTAAAATGGAAGTTATTCAAAATGATCATTTGTAGGTCCACATATTTTTAAAACCAAATATTGTGAATGTGTGACTTAGGCTAGGTCTTTTGAAATGTGCATAATTGCCTGCAAGGTTTTTGGATCTCTTATCTATAAGTCTCACATCCCCTCCCCAGCTGCAGCACCACAGTCCTCCACCCGGGCTCACTGAGCAGTGATGTGACCCACCTCCTGCGCAGTGCCCTGTGAAGTCTCTTCTTAGCTGGGTAAAGGTGCCTCCTTCACAGTGTAGAAAGCCTGAATAATTGCTAAGTTTAAGCTATCTTCCCCATTTCTGAAGTGGTAGCCAGACTCTCTCTCACTTAGTGACACATAAACTACTTAGTTACTTTTATAAAAAAAAAAAAAAAAAAAAAAAAGCCATAGAATGTTGCTATCCAAAATGTGTCTCAAATATGCCTGCATTTCCGGTTTTGATTTTAGGGAAAAAATATTATTTACTGTGTTGAAGAAATGATATTTCGGGGTTTTAGGGCTTTTCTTGTTTTTGTTTTTGTTTTCGTTTTGCTTTGATTCATTATCCATCATAGTAGGGTGGGGAATGAGGTAGAGATTAAGCATGGGGCAAATTGGACAACTAACTGGGAAGAATGTGTCAGAAGTTAAAAAAACCCAAGATGACTCCATGGCTCCCAAGCACTGTACATAGAGCCAATCAGAAAAGTCATATTTTCAGTCCCTCATTTGAATCTGGGGTAGTTTCAGGACCAATCAGAAGAGCAGTATTTTTAATCCTCCATTAACTTCTGGCAGGAAGCCAAGGAAGTCTTTCCATAGAGCAGTTTACTCGGGCTCCAAGCCAAGGAAGGCTTTGCTAGGACAAATGTCCTATGCCTTAATTGCATGTGGAAGAAGCCGATCCAGGATACCCTCGCGGCCCTGTGAGTCTGTTCACTGGCCTGCTCCTGCCTTGCAGAAAGCACCTATTGTCTGCCTTAAATAAATGTACAATTTCACTGCCTTTTCTGTGTGTCTTTCTTCAAGACATCAAAACCTAGAGAGAATTCCTTAGGACCTTCTATTTGCTGACAGGAGATGTGATAGAAACTGGTCCCCGCTCTACCATCTGATCAAATTTTGTATCTAAACAGGGAAGGGGATCTGAACAGTTCTTTATTCCAATTTATTTTTTGGAAGCTATTTTCAGGTTTTCCTTTTCAACTTCTTCTTGCTCTTTATAGGCCACTGAACTGCAACTTTAAATCTTACTCTTATTTTCTCTATGGTCCCTTGGATTTCAATTTTAATCTTCTCAGGTCTACCCTCCAGAGGAGTTTGACATCAGCTCTTCTTTTTCCTCTATTTCAAACCTGAAAGATGACCACAGTTACTCCAGTGCCCATGCACAGCCTTGTGTTCAGCCCTAGGCATGTCATTGTTCACGAAATAATAAATAAACAAAAATCAAAATGAGCTGGGAGTGTCACGGAGCAGCACAAAGTGGCTCCCAAAGCAGTGATGAGGATGAGTAAATGCATCGTACCCTTAGAATAAATTGCAGGTTTGCTGACTCCTTTTGAAGGAAAAAAAAAAAAAACTCAAGACAAGGCTGTAAGTAGAATGAAGGAATTTATTAATCAGAAGTTCAAAAGTATGCACTCAAGGAAATAAACAGTGTGGGCCCTCAGCAGAGAGGTGCATCACAGTCTGGATCGGGGTGTATTTATGGGAGATTTGGGCATGGTGAGTATGTGCAAAGAGGGATTTCAGTTCACTGATGAAAGGCAATAGCTCTTTCTGTAAGTGAAGGGAGAGAGCCTGTTTGTAGGTGACAGTCCTCACAGAAGACAGAGCTGCAGCCCATGCACTGGGAAAGGCCTATTCTCAGTGGATAAAACATAATGGAAAAATTCCATTTGTAGGTAGAAGGAAGATGCCTGGTCTTACTGTATTTTGGGAGAAAAGAAAAAAGAAATATAAGCTGGGTTTGTGTCCTGAAGCTGCAGTTTTTATTTTTAAAATCATGATATGCCTTGCCACCCGTTTATTTAGCTTCATTTCTTCTGTCCCGACTCTGGTGGATGATATCTTTAGCCTGACATGCTCAGGCTGAATTGCCCAAATGCTCAGGAAAATGTTTATGCTGGTAATAAAGATTTACTGGTCATCACCATGCGGAGAAGTAAACATTGGCTCAAGAAGCTGTCAGAGGGTCTTAAACATCTTTTCTGTTTCTTCATAAACAAAACAAAAAGATTAAAATAAATTTTACCATGTCAGTCATCATTCTACCTTAAGATCCTAAGATCCACTCATTATAGGAGTGTAAATCACAAAAAGGAGAAAAATTATTACAAGCTATGTTACATTTTATTGTCATCATAACATAAAAATATTTCCACAGTTGTCCTTGGAGGTTTGTTCCACCTCTAACAAACTACAAGAAACACAATATTTGTTTTATTTTCTTTGCATCTGTATTGTTTCATCAGGTTGTGCTGTCATAATTTGATTTAAATTCTTAATTTGTTTTCATGGTAGAAAGAATCACAGCCATATTTGGAAGAACTGTTGCAAAATGAAAAAAGAATAAGAAATGCACTAGATTACAAATAGAACTTTTGTTTTTTTAACATTAGGTTATTAAAGAGTGTTTCTAAAATTTTTTTTATAAATCTCTTTTGAATCCCAGGTATTGCAATTTCAGATGAACTTGATAAGGTAAGTTGAATATATATCTAATGAAAATAAAGTGTAAAACTTACATTTTAATCCATCATCTTTATTAAAAAAAACTTTCTCAAATATATGAAATAATCAAATATAATTCGTTTGGTCTTAATGTCATAAAACTTTCAAAATTATATGCTTATAGTCATCGATGAAAATTATTTCATCAGTTATATGTCACATACTTTCTTGCATCATGGCCTTTGAAATTTGGCTGCGAAAAGCAGAATTAGTTTAATGACTAAACTACTATCTTGAAAAAATAAAATATTATGTAAATTATTTAGATTTGGATGATGATATGGAAGATATTACACTTGTAATTTTCTATTTCTGCCCTTTGAAAACTTTAGTCATTTAGGTTTTTTTGTTGCTTTAATTTTCCAAGAACCGAGACTAAGATGATTTAAACTGCACTGAAGGTCGTGATAGCTTGCAAGAGTAGTATAACTAGGATTACATTTTCATAGGAATGTCAGTGGAACTGCTCATGGATTGGTTGTGTGTAGTTGTAGAAGGAATCAGTCAATGACAGTTCTAGCATTGGGAAATGAGCAACCAACCAAATGCACTGTGCTGTCATTCAGCAAAATTGGAAAGACTAGGAAAAGAGAAATTTGTCAGATTGGGCATAAAACCAAAAAAGTTTGCTTTAAAATTATTTGATTTGTCTGTTAAACATGTTTATATAAATTGTTGTTGAAAGAGATTTGATTGAGAGATATACTTTTAGTAGTCATCATGAGGGCAGAATTTTTCAATGTTTCTGTTTTCATGACTCCTTTCTAATGTGTAATAACTAAAAGGACCCCCCCCCCAGACTTTGGCTTATGCAGGATATGTGTATTAATATTTGCCATGGTAAAATTAAAACTGATAAAAATTTCATATGCTTATCATTGTAAAGTGGCAGGCATTAAAACCATTGCATTAAAAATAACAATGTAAAAATGGCTTATTTCTCAAAGTAAAATATTAGTGAGAATGTGATCTTGATTACTTTCTGAAAATCTCTTTAATGTTTTTGGCTCAAGTGAAAATTGGCAGGTTCTGCATTTAATCTGTTGTTACCTATGTTTTGATGAAAACATATGGCATCAGGAATATAGGAAAGGTGTAGAATTTAGAAACTTACCTGGTGAACATCAGTCCAGGTATCTTCCTAAATAAAAAATATGTTAAAACTTGACTTGATGGCCAGGTAGATAGGGAATAATACACAAAATTGAGATCAAGTAAATTACAACATTTAAAAATACTAAATATAATATAAAATTGTGTATTTTTTGCAAAAACAATAGTTAACACTCTCCCTCAAATGAAAATACAACTTTAGAATTTTGTACCATAAAAATGCATTCTGATTCAAGAAATAGATGCATGAATAATATTCTTTGTTGTTTTTTTTTTGTTTTGTGGTGGTAGGGACTTGTCTTAGTTGCTTTTAACTCATCGCTGAGACAAAAGTTGGGAAAGGAATGGTTTATTTCTTACAGTTTTTGGAGGTTTCAGTCCATACTCCGTTGGCTCCAAGGCAGAGTGGCATGGCAGGGCCGCAGTTCATGGGCGACTGCAAACCGCAGGCAGAAACTGGCAAGACAGCAAGACACGCCTTCTTCCTGCCATTACATTGTATGCTGGCTCCACCCCTATGTGGGTGTAGCACTGACACCATCAATCCAAACTCTAGACAATGAACCAATCACAGATGCATAATGCAAATGCATGAGGCCTGGGAGCCACAGATATAAACCATGACAGGACTGAAATCAGGACCTTTTAATAGCCATCATATACTTTAATATTGATGTAATTTATATATGTACTAACTCCAGGAAAAACTAGACCTTGATTGTATAGAACAACACACATGAAAAGTGGGAGTGGTCTCTTGGCTTCCTTCAGCTTTTTTAGGTCCCTTATAAATGATCCTTATAGTGTTGTATACTTTGTCTCTTTATGTTATGAACTTCCTTACAATTTTCAGAAACTAGTGACCCTATCCTTTGCAGTTATGAGCTATGTGATTTTCAAGTACAGCTATATAACAATTTCTTGATTTGTTTGCTTTTTTCAATACATGCTACAAAACCCTGACCGCATGACCATTAATGAGCTTTGTGAGGTTGCTATCATCTCCCCTTTTTTCCTGTTCTCTGATATGCAGCAGCACAATTAGTTATAGTACTTAGGTAAACCAAGGAACTTTAATAATTTTTTTTTGTACTGAAATGGATTTGACCTGTACTGATAAATTATGGATGCTCTGGCAATGGTCAGTTACCATCTTTGGGATCAGTCCTCCTCTCACATCCTCTTCTTCCCCCCAGAGCTAGGACAGGGATATCCATTTGACAAAATTTCACCACACTGATGACTTTATTTACTGAATGTTTCTTACTTTGAAAACTTAATAGAAATTGGTGGATTTTATTCCACATATATTATTTTGCATTTTTATTGAGGAAGATGCCAGTAGTTTCATAAGTAGCATATTTACGTCAGTGCATAAAAAATGACTTCACTCTCATATCTGATTTCCAAGGGAGCTAGATAACACAAAGGAGGTCCCAGGCTTCTGGAGCCTTACTCTCTTGTTAGTGCTGTGCCTGTGGAAGCCAGGAGCTTGTCCCATAGCACCCCCTGGTGACCATGAAGCTTACAGTCAGAATTTTTCTAAATACTTAGCCAAGCACAGGCAGCCTTTGGAAAGCAGTCAATCATGATTTCCAACCCGTACTGACTTGGCTCTTCTGTCTTCATTGTAATAATAAGAACAAACACAGCTTCTTCCTCTTGGTTCCTTTCCAGTTGTAAGAATTCGATGCATATATATTACTCTTAGCTCATAAAATAGTGTTTTACTATTTACATTTCAACTGCCATTTTATTTATTTTTCTGTGCCTTTAAATGTAGTTTTTGAGTCACAATAAAATTAATTTCAATTCACATGAAAGATAAAACGGGTTGATGTTATTATCAAGGGCATTTTTAAAAAAACGGTGGCAACTCCATCATAATGCATCGTTCTTTCCATTTCCTCCTCTTAGCCAATGCACTGGTTTTCCATGATGCTGCAACAAATTAAAACAACACAGATTTATTATCTTATAGGTCTGTAGTTTAGAAATTGAATGCAAACCTGGTTGTTAGCTACCATCGAGTTGTTGCCAGGGCCGTGCTTCTTCCTGAAGGTTCCAGGGGAACTCCATTTCTTTGCCTTTTCACACTCCTGGAGGCTGCTGTATTCTTCAGCACACAGTCCTCTTGTTGTACCTTTATACTGAGCAATATCTTTCTCACTTTAGCCACAAACACCTTTCAATTTGTAGAATCATGCTGTATGGGAGCCTCCTAGCTATCCCACATAATTTTTCCATGTCCAGAACTTTAGTCTTGTACTGTTTTGTTTGCTTTGTAAAGTAGCATAGTCGTAGGTTTTAGGCATTAAAACATGGAAATCATTGAGAAGTCATTATTCTGCCTACATAACTACTATCCCAGACTGCAGTATTCTTCATGAACACTCTTATTCTTTGGGTGCCTAGGATTTCAATTCACCCTTTGAAATGCCACAAGGTAGCCTAGTTCGTGCTGGCTCAGTTCCTTATCACGGAGGCAATGTGACCCATCCCCCAAATCCTGCAAGTGTGGGGTGATTTGGAGCTTGCTCTCCTAAGGACTGAATGCTTCTATGTTGCAAGACTCGTGCTGACCAGCGATGCCTGGGTTGGTGGCCAGCCAGTGGCTTGCTGAAATTAGACTTTGGAATACTGCTCCCGTTCCCAAGCTCTCGGAGGGATCAGGCTGAGAGCAGTGTTAAAGGGAACCCACATCTTGGCCTCACTTCTCTCCTTCTCCCCACTCACCCTCTTCCCGGTTTCAATAACTCACTGCCTCAGCTTCTGAGTGCAGGGAGCTCTGTGAGCCACAAGGTAATTTTTATAAAGCAGAAACTCGCTGAAAATTTTTCCTAGATGCTCTGCTACTTACTAATAAGATACTAATTTCTAAACTAGAATTAGGTCTCCATATTGTGTCTCACATCTCTATTTTAGGCTTTTTTGTCCTCTTTCCTATTTATACTTTTCCCTCCTGTCTCCTGTATTCTTCCTTGGATAAGGAAGCTGTTTGTTTGTTTGTTTGAGTCTCCCTGTGTAGTTCAGGCTGGCCTTGAACTTACTATGAAGCTCCAGCTGACCTCAGACTCCTAGTGATGCTCCTGCCTCAGCCTTCCAAGGCATGTGCCCTCACATTTGATCAACAAGGGATACAGAGTATAATGCAGTTAGACTGTGGTACCTCCAGGTCATGTTTTTATTCAGTTCCATATTTCTGTTCATGTCCTTTTCTCGCCTCTGTTATCCAGCCATCAAGTTCCAACTGTTCATGGTATCTTTGAAGAGAGACAGGTCACCTTGCATATTTTCTGTGAATACACAGTGACTGGTTCAGATGACACTCCTTGTCTCATACTGTGTGTATTTGTGTTCACTGATTGAGGAAGTATTGTAGTGTTATGGAAAAATCTATAGAGAGGCCTTGAATGAAATCTCAGTACCTGGTGTTTACTAGCCATGTTACCACCAAGAAATTATAGGTGATGGGGTTTAATTTCCTTCTCTGTAAAATTTAGATGATTTTAGTAACTGTTGAAAATAACATTGATTTCCTGCTAGAAATAATTTTATGTGTATTGCTAAAATATCCAAAATATGAAAATTTCAAAGAAGTATACAGGACAATCATTTCAAAATGAATAGGATTTAGAAAGTATAAATGTCCTGAACAGAATGCAGTTTCAAGATTCTATATTGTTGCTTCAGTTGTTCTACAATTGAACTTTGGCTGGTCAGTGCCACCCACAAAATCACTGCAAACTAGTCATTCATGGGAAAATAGACCGTTCCTGCTACTGAACTGTAAGAGAAGTATTCTTTCATTGGCCCTAATGGAGCAGATTCTGTGAAATGTAGTCACTAATACCCTC